AACAAAAAAAATCAAAGAGTGCAGCAGGTGCTGTCCGTATTTTTGCCACAATGCTATGGGGATTTGTCTTAGTTAGTACTGTTATTGCCATCATCAATATCGTCAATTTGGCTCAAAATAAACAAACAGCAATCGACAGATGTATATCGCAAGCTAATTCCACAATTCCCGATATAAATCAAGGGAAAGCCGCAGAAAATCTTCCTGGTGTTTGTAATAGTATAGAAACCATGAGGATCATAATTTTTGGGGTTATAGCAGGTGTAATTATATTAATTCAAGTAAGTACTTTTTCAAAGCTTAAATGTTTCTACAATAAATAATTTATTAAAATTTTTAGTAAATATGAACTTTGTTTATTCGTAGGCGTATTTTGCTAGGGAAGCCTCTCGTTTCGCAGAGCAACTTGAAAGAAATTATTTTAGTAAACATGATCAGGGTCATTCATCTCGAAGCGATTCTACAGGATCTGATCCATACGCACATCATAACAAAATTTAATGAAAAAAAACTCACCTGAAATATATAAGGCCACACAAATTTAATATATTGGTTTTTCATAACATGAAACTTTTAAACAGACCCGGCCGGCCGGCTTTTTTTTAAAATTTCATATATAAAAAATTTATAAAATTTTTTTAAAAATTCCTTTAAAAACTCACCCGATTATTAAAACATAAAAAATTTCTTATCAAGTTTTCAAATTTTGACCCGGCCGGGTTATGAAAACCAGTTAATTAATTTGCATGACCTAATTTATGGATTTTTTAATATAATGCATATGCGCTCTGTTCACGTGACCATACTAATATTAATTCCATTTATTATTCCTTATACCGTCCGGTTTAGCGGGTAAATTTGTCCGCTAAAATATTTGAAGGAAAAAACCAACCAATAAAATTTTTTTATTGATAGTCGCATCTAAATTAACCAAAAGTTCAGTCACATGATACATTTTACGGCAACAGCATAAAATGTCAAAGTAACCCAAATAGTACAAATTTGGGTTATATAAAAATATTACATCTTTTTTGTTTCTTTTAAAGCATTTTATATAATTGAATTTTTGAGAATTATTTAGATTAATTTAGTTTTAAAATTTATATATATTGGCAAAATAAAATTACTATATAATATAGATATTTAATAATAATAAAATTTTATATTGTTTTTTTTTATATTCAATGGATCTGTTTTTATTATTTTATTAAAAATATCAGAAAATTATTGTTAACAAGCATATATAATTTTTTATACTATATTTCTATACTAAAGAAAACTCACTTGGCTTTATAGCCCAGATGCAACCCTATCTAGCAGCAATTTGCTTCTTGTTTACTTGTTAATTTTTTAAGAATTTGGTTCTTTCAATCATTAGCTGAAGCAGTTGCATGCTTTGTCAAGAAGATATATCAAAGAAAGTACAGAAAAAAAAAATACAAAGATATAAAGAAAGATAATAAAATTTATAAGCAAGAAAAAAAGGAGTAAAGAAATATTATAAATAAAAGAAAAAAGAATTTGTTTATTCTAATATCATTTATAAGCTTGTAAAAAACTTGAAAAAATTATACTTTTAAACAAACTAATTTTTACTTTAAATTTATCTAAATAGTATATGAAATTAATAACTATATAGTATAAAAAATTTGGTAACTAAAATTATGTAAAAAGATTGGTATTTGATCATAGTCTTGAAGTATTGTTTGATCAGATTATTGTATTCAAGATATATATCTTGATGTATTTGTTGTCCTGTTATACTAATTTAAAAAGTAAACAATGCTAACTATTTTGATATATATAATATTAATCTTTTGAAAAGATAAACTAAAATATCTATTTTTTACAAAAATTTTTTTTAAAAAAATACTAGATTAATAAAAATATATGAAGTTCTTCTTGTAAGTTTTATAGTTAGATAGTCCAATTTTTAATTTCTACTAGATATTCTTGCTCAGAAATTCATAGTAATATTATTTTCAAAATATTTTTTTGTCTAAATATTAAAAATATAAAAAGTCTATTTTTTTCTACTTGCTATTTTTAAAAACTTCTTTGATTTAAATATTAAATATATAGAAGAGTTATCTAAAGCAAAGAAGAAGACCTTTATAACTTTGGTATATTATATTTAAGAACTTTATCAATAATAGTTTATAAAGAAGTTTGCTTATATAATACAAGAGTATTTTTATATTTATTTTGTTATTTTTTTATATTATTTTACTATAGTTTAGTTTTTTTATTATTGACTAAAAAATTATCAGAAGAGTTATAAAATTTTATATAATTAGAAATATATAATTATTTTTTAAATAAAAAATTTATTTTTTTATATAATTTTAAAATTTTTAATAAAATAAATAATTATTATAGTAGTTTATACCAAAATTTAAGATTTCTATTTAAACCTATAATATCTGTTAAAATCTATATACTCTTTTACTGTATTAATAATATTATTTTTAATCTTTAATCTAAATATAAAAAATTATAAAAAAACTTTTAAAATTTTTGTAATTTATAATAAATTATAACAAAATTTTAATATAAATTAATTTTAGTATAAGCTACTATAATTATTAATAAATTATAGTTTTAATTATAAAAATTATATATATATTTTATGAATATTGCTAATTTTAACAGACTGTAAAATTTATAACCTGTATATGATCAATCAAAATTGCAGAATTAGTATAATCTGTAAATTTTTTTGTATAACAAAAATAAAGTTTTTTATAAAAAAATTAAAAAATTACTTATAATACAAAATCTAGCTTATAAAATTATCTTTAGTATTATAAGTAAAAAATTCCTTGTTAAATTTTACTATAAAATTTGTTATTTATTATAATATTAGTCTAATCTTAATTTAAATAAAAAACTTTTTGAAACAGAAATATGAATTTTATAGCCTGTGAATTATCCCTTAAACTGTAAGCTTTTCCAGACAAATTTGTCTAAAAAATTATATAAATATACTTATGATTTATATTTTTTAATTTTTAAAATATTTAAATAACGATTTTTATCT